ATGGGGTGTGGAGGAGGGAGAGGAACAGAAAGAAGGAGAAGGTGGAAGAGGAGGAAACAAGTGGCTGTCAGAAAGCCGTAAGGGCGGGCGGCTCCCCAGCGCTGGCAGTGTACCAGGCAAACTGTTTTCCACACATACCTTGTCAGCGTCAGAGTCAAGATTGACCTATTATTTTGCTTTTCATAGTATAAAAAATAAATAAATAAATGCAGTGATGGATACTCAGAAATTGAAGGGAATCTAGAACAAGGAAATGAAGATTCCCAGGGGATAGTTACCTCACTGCAGTGCTACAGATAATCCAAACAATAGTGACTGTTTTTACTTTTCTTTCTGTCTCATCTACTACAGGAATGTGTTTTCCAGATATTCTAGAAATATTTGGTTCTTCTTCACTTGTCTATTCCTTAAAACGATGCAAGTGTCTCTAAGAGAGGAATTCAGCATTTTGCTCATGATTCACCAGTTCGGATAGAGATTTTTCAAACTTCACACTAAATTTACTGTAACAGCACTTAAGTCTTCTTTGATGGAAAAAGGGGCCGCTTAAAGACACCTTTGAAAATTGTCTTAGCAAACTTAAGATTTAAAAATCTCTGCTTATTCATCCTTTGTGATGGTTTCGTGCCTATCTTGGGCTTAGTCTGCTTTTCTGCCAGCTTTAAATAGATTGAGCTTAGTTGATCTGAAGAATTCTTCCACATTTCCAGTCCATACTTCAAAGATAACAGCTCCACCATTGAATGTCTCTTATACTGAATTGCTCCCTCTCTGCTAAGAAATTTGCTTAGAATGAGAGGTGGCTAAAAAAAAATTCCCTGCAGGTGGTCCAAATCGGGAAGCTTTCCCATGCTGTCCCTTCAGCATGGGAGCTTTCTGGCAGTACATAACTACCGAACAAGCAAAACATAAGAATTTCTAATTGTCGCTATCGCAGAGTGAGAGCACTGACTTACTTCCACCGATGTTTAATTTTCAGAACTGGGAGTTAATCTCCACAATAAATATTCCCATCTGGTGAGGTAGGACCACTTTTAGTCCCGTGCGGCGAAGCTCAGAGGCTGGTTCCCTCAGATAACAGCGATTTTAGCCAGCCCTCGTTCAGGTATGTGACAGCGAGGAAAGTACTAGCAACAGTCGATCGGCCCCTGGAAGAAGTTTTTGGGTTAAACAGGTGTAAAACATAGGACCCTCCTTTGTTTTAAGATCAGTTCCCATGTTGTAGCCAAAGTTTCATCAGAGGACAAGTTTAAAATCTCTCTCCTGAATGTTTCCAACCCAGAGTAGATTGTACAGGAGTAAATTATTTTTATTGTTAGTCTTTCCTTGGTGCCTGTGTGGGTTTTGTGAAAAATGTAAAAGGAAAAAAACCAATGTTTTCTCTCAGAATTTTAAATTATATTTTCGTTACAGGTATTTATAATATAGCAAAGATTTTATTGAACAGACAGAATTTTAAAAGGCGTAATAAATTATATTAACCAGATTTTTCTTGGGAAAGAGACAATTTCATCCAATAAAGGTATTTTTTAAAAGGCATGTTCCAACAGCAACTGCAACATGTATGTGATGTGATGTTAAAATTTGTCTACCAGTAGCATAATACAGTGTGTTAGCAGAGCTCAGAGTGTGTGGTCTTAACGTTTGTAAAGAAAACAGTGAGATAAAGCCAAGCCATTGCCTTAAAAGGACCGGGAAACGTAGTTTAGAATTAAAAATAATGGCTTCAGGAAGTAACAGGGGGGTGTGATGTGTTGGAAGTGAAGCCTTGCAGAGGGTTTCTTCACCAGGAGTGCCGGGATGCTTACCAGCCACGGCTCCAGCTGGAGTAGGGTTTGCTGTGCACACCAGCAGCCGCAGCGCTCGCTGTCTGTAGTTGAGACCCGGTGGCTCTGAATTGCAAAATTCCGGCTATTTCACATACAGGCGCGTGTGTCAGAAGTGCTGCAATGAGAGGGTACAGCAGAACGGGTCGGGGTCGGAGGGAATGTGCAGGTTTCACTCCTTGCATCAAAGCAGCAGCAGTTAAAATACTTGGCTTTTTCCCAAACCCCGCTACTCACATTTCGAGCCAGTAAAGAAACCAGTCCCTATCTACCCTTACATACTGGAATTACTGGTGGAGCGCTGCTTTTTAGGGGTAGCTGTTTGCTGGTCCGTGCTGAGGAGCGGGCTCTGCGGGGAGCACGTAGCCGTGCAGGGTTTGGGGTGTTCCCTGGGCTGTGATAACCTACCCCCGTGCCCAGGCGTGCCCAGGAGGACGCAGCCGGCCCCGTGAAACCCCCTTCTCCCGCTGCTCGGCTGAGAGGACGTCGTGTCCTGGCAATCTGCGGAGGCAAATGCCTCTGCTTTCCAAAGCCTTCACTTCTTGAGGGCTTAGGGGTCGTACTTGGACTCAGACTTAGCTTGCTTCTCAAGTCTCAGCTAGTTAACTACTGCTCAATTAACAGAACCTGCTTTGTCGAATGCTGCAAGGGTAATTAAAAACTTTTTTTTGTGCTTTCAATACGCCACATTTCCACAGTGGAAATACTTTTAGTAAAAGTGCATAGAAAATAGATACCTGAAGTAGCATAAAAAAAAAGAAATCTCAGCCTACATTCAAGCAATGTCACCTAGCTGCCACACCCAACAGTGGATTTGGTCTCATGTTGGTTCGCTTTTTAAATGCCAGCCTGCTTTAGCTGGTTTGAGTTACCCAGGCGGCGCTTCTGACCAGTCGTGTCTTGTAGCTCCGAACTTGGAAATATAGTTTTCAGAAGCAGCATCATCTTTCTTGCCTCTCCCAAAGTCACTTCAGTCCGAAAAGAATTGCAAGCATTTTCAGTAAAAAAGAATTATTATTTTAGGAGAGAACAGGGGACTTTGCAAGTACAATACCAGAATTATCTTGGTATCAGGAATCAGGGGTGGATGCGGAGTGTGTACAAGCAGAGCACATTCCCGGGAAGGGGAAGCGTCTGAAGGTCACTTACGGGCTCATGGGTGTCACCAGGGGGTGGCAGCCACCTCCGTCTGCGTCACAGCGACATCAGGGGCGGCTCTGTCCCCCCTCCTGCAACAGCAAAACAACCTCTGCCACTGCAATTTTCCCAGCGTTACAAACCTAGGGAAAGCTGGGTGCCCAATCCATTCAGCCCTGAGAATAATTATGGTTTAAAAATTACAGGGGAAAAAACCCACGGTCATTATCATGCAACACCACTTTTGTGTTTATGTGGGCACAGAGTATCTGCACAGCCTGAAACCCTTCCGTTGGACCCAGTCGTTCAGGAAGTCCATTTCCAGAGCTCCTAGGAACCGCGCCATTCGTGGCAGCGTTTGAGAGAGGGGCGACTCGAGAGATGTGTGTGCTGCTCTCCATCAGCCGCTCGGCTAGCTAATACCCCTGCTGCAGACGGGAAAGGCTCAAACTCCAACCCGGCGAGGCACCAACAGAGATCATTTCAGTAAACACTTTTCTATTTAATGACACAGGCACTCATTAAAAATATCGCTTCTCTTGCTGCAATTTGTGGGGATAATGTAACCAAGAAAGAATGAGAAAATTTGCTTCCAGCAACGCAGCAAATGCCCAGAGGAAAAAAAATTGGTCAAATATGCTCCAAGTTCCACTAAGATACCACAGAAAAATAAATAGACAATATGTAGGGAATATGGGTGGTTATCAGGAAAGCATATCTTAATGGTTGTATTGTTTCAGCTGTTTGACTGCCTCCAACCACATGTAGCTGAGCATCTCGCTCTCTCTGATGTCATGCTCTTTAAAAAAAAAAAACAAACGAACTGGTTGCTGTTATATCTACCGTATTGTTTGACTACGCCCGCGTTATCGGCCGGCATTTCAAACCATAAACATGCCGCGTGATGCCGCGCCATATATTCTGATAAGGAAATGCACTTAGGAGGAAGGACGTGCAGCCCCGCAGACGCGGATCCACGAGGAGCCCGTGTGAACCCCGCGGGGGCCGGGCAGCGGGCAGATCCGGGCGCCAGCTCCCTTGGGCACGGCGCGTTAGCCCAGTGCGACGGAATAGCGGCGCCGTGGTGATGCGGAGCATCGCAAACATCCGGGGAGCCGAGGCAGCCTGCAGTGCCACGGTTTGGACGGGAGCTCGGTTACCTCCATGGTCATTCGGGGCTTTGTGAGGGAGGTATTAAAACCTGAGGATTCAGAGAAAACCTGTTGTTATTAGTTCCTCCTCTTTCACACTGCATCCCAGTCGCCCCACATCAGAGTGGTGCACCACGCCTGAATGAAGCTTTTCTGAAAATACCTGTAGATACTAAAACCCCCTGCTTAACCCGTGACTTGTGTCAGGCTGCCTGCAGTCGGTGCAGGTCACTGCCTGCACCTTTCCATGAACAAAGCCGTACGCACCCCTTGTCACGGCTCCGTGTCAGCTCTCTGTGACGGCAGAGCACAGCAACTCTTAGCAGGAGCAGCACAAAGGAAGAAGGTGCTGCACTAAATCCGCTATAACAGAGTTTAAATTCCAGCTCGGGTTTAGCATCCGAGTAGCATTGATAACGCCGGGTGTCCTGGCGGGTGGCAGAGGGGGAAGCGGGATTTGTTCACTTGAGAATCCTTTTAACAGCCAAGGTACCTTTTGCCAAAGCATTCCATGTTTCTGCAGTTGCACTAATGGGAAAATAACCCTACTGCCATTATGCAAAAAAACCCACCGTAGCTCTGTAGGGAGATTCAGGTGGGTTGGACATTTAAGCAGCGCTGGCTTTGTCCGACAGTGGGTAAGTGCTGTATCAGGCACTGTAAATGCTGGGTCTTGGGTCTCCTGTGAAAACACTGCAGCCAAAATTCCTTCCTGGCTTTGAGCATCGAATTTGAAATACTTTAGGGAAGGGAATTCCTAGTACTCTGACTGTTTCTCTAGATATTCTTTAAAACTAATAGAAACACTCGCCTGTAAATCGTCACGAGGACAGAGCCAGACTCTTCTCAGTGGTGCCCAGCACCAGGACAAGGGGCCATGGGCACAAACTGGAGCAGAAGAGGTTCCAGTTGAACGGGAGGAAGAACTTGTTGACTGTGAGGGTGCCCGAGCCCTGGCCCAGGCTGCCCAGGGGGGCTGTGGAGTCTCCTTCTCTGGAGATCTTCAACCCCCGCCTGGACGCTGTCCTGTGCCCCCTGCTCTGGGTGAGCCTGCTTGGGCAGGGGGGTGGCACTGGGTGAGCTCTGGGGGGCCCTGCCAGCCCCTGCCAGTCTGGGATTCTGGGATTCTGTGATCTCTAGGATTCGGAGGTTGCTCTGAACCAGGCTGTCAGGGAGGCCATCCGGCGGGGCATGCAGCAGCTCACTTCCGAATCTCGTGTCTCAAGTCGGGCAGTGTGAATGCCGTCCCCACCTCCTTCCCAGCATGGTGCTGAGCCGTGCTGGGCATGCCTGGCCGCAGCCGCTCAGCCCTTTTGAAAAGCTGGGCTGGAGCCGCTCAGCGTCCGTTCAGACCACGGGACTGCCCCAGCCGTTGGTCGCTACGGAAAATTCACAAGGATCTCCAATTTCCGTCCAAGATACTGTTCGCTGTAAGAGACCACGTGTGACCCCCCCAGCTTGAGGAAAATCAGCTCAGAAACCAGCGGCCATTCTCCAGCTTAGCAAGTGGTTTCAGCAAATGCTGCAGGAGAATGTTAAACCTGAGCTTAACCTTAGCTGCTCGCTTAAATTGCTCTCCTATCCTGTTCCACTGTGCGCATGGGATCAAGCACCTCACCGAGTGCTTGGCTGAATCTGTAAGGATGTTGAAGTTCTGCTTAGCCATTGCCAATGTCTGCATGCAGTCCTCATTAAATGCCGTGCGCCTTGGTTTCCACACGGTGAGCAGCTGAGTTTCATGAGCCACTTACTTGGCGGTGTACTGGGTCTCAACCTCGTGCAGTGAATCACTTCCCCCCAGGGGAGTGCGTTTTCTTCACTGGGGAAACAACATTTAGAGAGCCCCAGGCAAGCCCTGTACGTTTGGAGACCTTACAGGTTAACTTCACCTTCTTAATAAACATTTCAGAAGTTCGGGCATTTCAAACCTGGGTGGCCTTAGTACTCTAACGAAGCTCAGGGAGTCCTATCCATTTACAAAGAACCTAGACCACCGCATATTATAATAATTAATTTAGCTTCATATTACAGTGCTGTACACATCCATCGGGACTGAAGAGTGGTCTGAGGACAGATGTGCTGTTACTTACTTCAAAATAAGTTTTGACCAACCCCTTATAGGCTCACTTCAAATGTTCTCACGTACCTGAGAAATGAAACCAGCTGAAAATAACTTGAGTGGGGTGTAACTCCAAAGCAGTGGAGAGGAAGAGAAAAGAAAGAGGTGACAGACTGGGAAGAGACAAGAAAGAGTGAATTTTGTGCTTTCCCATTCTCTTTATCCAAGCAGTTTTCAGTTGCATTACCCTGGCTTCAAAGGACAAATTTTAAGGATCTTTCTGCTGCTCATGCTGGTGAGTCAGATACCGTTTGTTTCGTAGCAAAACTCATTGCTGTCTTGATCTCTCGTGTCTCCATTTCCTACTGGAATTCTAATTATAAAACCCAAAGCCCAGCACTTCCAGATATTCAAGGTTCATCAGCTCCTCAGTTTGTGTTAATCAGCTCAGTTCCTTGACTTCACCCCAGTAATTTTACACCAACTGGGAGTCCAAGCCATCACCCATTTTTAGGGACGTTCACTCAGCGACTGCTTGCCTTTAGAGATGCTCAGTGTTTGATTTTCTCACCAAAGGTCATGGCAGTCGCGTTGGCTCGGCTGTTGCGCCGTGCGAAAGCCCTGCACACACCCACCCGCGCGTGCCCGCAGCGCATTATCCTTGCAAAGGTGCGTTGATGGAGGAGTGTGTCACTGCTGACACTTCGAAAGGCAACAGAAGGAAGTGGGAGCCCAACGTCCCTCACCCCTCAATGGCATCCCGGTACCTAAATCCCTCTGGGTTTTTCCAAGCCCCAGCCCATATTGCCTCCCTCTGGAAGAGAACATCCCCGCGTGCATTGCAAAGTGTGGCGAGGGGATTATGCACTAAACCAAGAGCAATCCCTGTCTGTCAGCACAAAGCCGAGGCTCAGCCTGCAAGTGCCGCCTGTTTGCTGGCATCTGCAGCGTGCAGAGTCATGCAATGAGTTTCTTTGTGTGGGTGGGAAGTGTCAGTGGAAGAGGAAGAGATTTAATTTTCTGCATTGCACCTTGCCCATAAAACAAGGCTGGTGGCCGCTCACCCTGCCTCCTTGCGGGGCCCGAGCAGCTCGTGCTTTCGGAGTCACAAACGGAGCTGATCTGCTCGCACTCTTTGTTTCCATCAGGCAGTGCTGCTGTCACCCAGCCTGTTCAAAGAACCAAACCACAAAAAAGAGTTAACAACCTCATAGGCTTTATACATTAAAAAAAAAAAAAAATTATCTTCTTGCTTCAGGGAGGCATCATCCTTGCCCTCAACCCTCAGGGAATGGTTGAAGCTGATTTCCATCAGAGGCCAGCCCTGCCCAGCCTCAAGTCTCCTGCCAAAATGCCCAAATGGAAAGTTATTTCTCCCTGCTGATCTCTACTCTGCGTATGGTCACAAAAAAAGCTGAGATTTCATCTGTCCTGGGCAATGTTTGCTGGTGTGGCTCACCCAGCTGCATGTACTAGCAGTGAAACAATGGTGCAGCCGTTATAGCTTATACCGAGCCTCCAAAGAGAACAAATGATACCAGAAAAGCACTTGTTTTACTGCTGTATGTTTCCACCAAGACATTCCAGCAGTCTAAACCATTCTCCTCTCTTTTACACTTAAGTAGAACTGTTGCGGTTTGGATTCCAGTGCAGTTTTGGTGCAGTGAAATTAACAGCAAAACACAGTATCTCACGCATTTAACTCCCGTTGCTGTCAGTAGGATCGGCACATTGTGTGCAAGCTTTGCCCGACCCACGGCCTGTGGGAATTTATGGGTTCCCACGTAGGTACCAAAGCAAATTCCAGCCTGAAGTAAGGGCATCCTTAGGAGTAGAGCACCGTAAACTAGCCAAGAGCTGTGAGATGGGAAACAGCCACCTGGCCTGATGGCAATGGCCATTCTCCTCTAGAGTTGTTGATAACATGTGCACACAGGCATGCTGGTGTCTCTGTATGGAACCATACCGACCCTTCAAGGATAAGCATCGCTAGCTCGTCTGGGTAGCAGGCAGCAGCTGGGGAGCAGAGTCCCACCGCCCCCGTCTTCCACCGCCTCTCCTAGGTTTTAATTTTTTTCCAGCCTGCAGATGTCCAGGAGAAAGATGAGGACTAGCACTTCAGCTCACTGGAAAAGTAACGCAGGCGAAGCAAGATCACCTTTTGTTTACCCTGAAAGAGGGAAGGCTGAGTCATCCTCAGACATGTCGCATGTTCAGTAGCTTGCTGTGCCATCTGTGTGACTGCTGTTCAAAAACCTTCCGATCCAGGGTTATTCTTGGCGTGCCCTAACTACTGACACTGACAAACAGGTTGCTCGGAAGCCTCTCAGCCGGGTTAAAATGTTATTGATGATATTTTTAGGTTTAGGTACTACGTGGATCCACAGCAGTGCTTTTCTATGCTTAATAATACACAGGCTTCATCAAGATAAACACAGTGTGACCAGCATGAAGCTGTGCTGTAGGAGAGAGCCGGCAGAAGGGCTGGGTCAGACGGTCCCTGCTCCAAGTCGGGGCAGAATGCGGTGAGATGAAGGGTGATGGCAGGATGGGGTGTCAGACAGCGCTGGGATGCTTTGGCAGAGCTCTGTGCGTATAGACCCAGCCAGTCTGGCAGCAATCGCCATAATCCCAACTCCTCATCTCTGTCTGGTTACCCAACAGCCGTTCCTTACAATTTGGGGTGGCACAGACCATGCCTGCGACTGTGGCATTCATGTTGGGCACTCTTGTCATGACCCTTCATGGGCAAAGGAAAGATTTTTGGTTTCTGAAGACTCACAATCTGCCTCGGGAATTTCCTGGGCGAGAGCGGCTTGCTCGCTTCTGCTGTGGGCAGGAAGGCTGCAAGCTCTGCAGGGAGCCGCCAGCTTCCAGAGCTCCCGCTCCCTGGATGCTGCCCAGCGCCTTCCTCCACTTGGCTCTGCTTTCTGCTCAGGGCAGGCAGAAAAACCCATATCCCACCGGCGTCCAGATGCAGAAAAAAGGAGCCTCACTGCCCCTGCTGCTCCTCCGCCCGGGCAGGGTCTGCCTTGCAGGGTCGGCAGTTTCGGATGGGCAGACCCCTCTGCCCCGCAGGCCTGCCCGAGTCCCTTCTTGCCATCCAGATTGTCTGAAAATGGGTGCGTGGGAAGAGCTAAAGGTTTCTGATGACCTGTGGGAGGCACTTCTTGCCACCACTGTGCAGAACCTCCTGCGGGCAAAGGGATCCCAGCGCATCCCACGGAGAGAGTAAACTGGGGAGGAAGAAGATGGTAGCATGGTGTCCGCTTCCCCAGAGCCCACCAGGGCAGCAGTTTTGCCCGCAGCTGGGTGACCACGAGGACCTGGCTTGCGCAGAGTCCTAGACCTTGCAGCAAAGCTGGAGAAGACCCAGGGGCCTCCCTGTGAGCATCAGTAGGTGGGAAAGGGCTGAGCTCCTGCAGGGGCTGCGGGGCTGACCTGCACCGTCCCTGGCACCAAGCCTCCCATTCCCTTCTGGAAAGCAAGGTGGGGGTTTTGGGCCGAGGAGTGGAGGGATGGGTGAGCAGCCGTGGGGTCTGCTGACCTCCGTGGGCTTCTGCGGCAGCAGCTCTGCCTGCTGACAGGGCTCAGCCTGATCCGGCCAGGAGAAGGTCGGGCTCCACTCCGGTGTCACCCCTGAGCTTCCCAGTTGGTCTCTGTGGGAGCCAAGCCTTGGGACAGGCAACGGTCAGACATGTATTCCTGACATTGCAAATAGCCAACAGCACCAGAGGATCCCTCCTTGCCTGTATTTTGTGGCGGAATTAACTGTGCAGTACTTCATTTTTCCTGTGAAGTTGAATGAATTGCTCCTCGTGGGCTTCCATTTCCGTTTTATGTGGCTCTGTTGAGAGAAAAAAATACCCTGTGGACTTTCTGCCATCTTTTCTGGCTTTCTAAGAATTTTACAAGTCTTGTGAACAGAAGGGGTGCCTGGAGAGATGCTCCCTTCGTGGTGATGTGCTGCTGTGGTCCT